ATATTAACATTCTTAACATGACACATTATTTATACAAAATCCACACTATTGATTAAAATCACATGCGAAAATAACCTTCCCTTCATTACGATTTTACCAAACCATTTTTCTGCAAATCTAGCAAAATCACCCTAGTTTTTTTTTCTATTTTCTGCAAATGAGCAGGCTTTGAAGACGATGCCATGTTAAGGGTATTTGCACTAAAAAGTTTTTAACATTGAAATAAAACTCAATATCTGTCTTTAAAAGAACAAGCGAGTAGAAAAATAAATGTATATAAAAAAAATAAAAAGACTACTAATGTTCTTACAAAATTCTAATGCATACATTGCAAAACATATAGAAGAAATGATACTTCCACACGACTTCAGCTCAATTCTCTACCTCTGGCACTCTCAAACATCTCTATATAGCGTTTTCGTATTAAGCAGGACCACGACAAATCGAGCTTCCTCTCCTCCTTTATGTCCCAAATATATGTCTGTGAACTGGTTGTGTATCTAAACTCTTGATAACTTCCACCCATGGTTTCTCTACCACCAAAATTGCATCTTTTGATAAATGTCCTAAACATAGAACTGGGTGTTTTGAGGGTACCATCTCAAACTTCTTACTCTTTATTTGATACTCCTCTAACCTACGTTTTCGGGTCCCATTCCCCACTTTCAAACCAATGCTTGCAATTTTACCTGCTACCTTTTCAGACAGATTTCCGTATGGCAAATCCGTATCTCCGTCTTGTTCCACCGGCTTCCCAAATTCCATTAGACACTTAGCCCTGTTATGCAACCAAAAATTCAAATATCAGCACAATTCCAAGGGTTCTGCTTTTCTTAATGCACATTGTCATTAGTGAAAAATCTGAAAGCCAATCAAGTACCAGGAGCTGTAAATGATTACAGATGATGAAGTTGGTGATGGAGAGAATGAGAGCCCTACGACCTCGCCAGGAAACTCTTGAAATCTTTTTGGCAAACTAAAAGTGTGCAGCAAGGACAACTTGTCCAATTGTCTAGCCTCTACGTCAAATGCAAACACCTGGTTTGAAGAGGTCGAGATCACAAGCACATTGTTGATCCTGGGATGAAAACCAGCGGCTGCAACAGATGCACCATCCAGCCTTGATATGAACCAATGCTGCCTGTAACCAATATCAAAGCCTCAATGAAAAAAAAAAAAAAATACAAGACGCTGCTTCAAATATGCAAGCCATAATCATAATCCTCTGCAGGAAAAGTACTGTGAGCAAATCTTAGCCAATAAATATAAGCAATAAGGGGTCATAAAATATCCACCTCCGTGTTTCCAGGTCGAACACATATATGTCCCCAAAGCAATTGATAGCCGCTAACCAATGGTCATTTGAGCTAGTATACAGTTTTGTAATTGGAGGCTCTCGAGGAGGGGATTCACCTTCCTGCCCTTCCTGACGTGGAGTAAAAGTATGTAACAGCTCCATGCTATCAGCGTCAACAGTCTGCCAAAAAAATAGAGTCAAATGTTTTACAAAGTCAAGCAAGTACAAAAAGTTTGATTACTAGCAACACTTAGCACATACATATATCCTGCTATCATGCCCAGCCATTATCAGCCGAGAGCAGTCACAGCTAAAGAGCATGGAATGAGCTAATGGAAGATTGGGAAGTCGCTTTCTATTGGCACTCCATGGATTCTTTCCAAGTTTATTTTTCTTCAGCTCAAACAGACTTGGGCGAATTTGGTCAGAATAAGCAAAAAGTGATCCTGTGTTGGAAATTGCACTGCATATGATCTTCCGGTTATCTTTACATTTAACACGAACCAATGGCTTGGTGGAGACACGCCCACTAGAATCACTGCTTATGTGAATACGAAGAATGTCTAAAGAACAAGAATCCTGAACCAAGAGAAGAGAAGTCTGATTGAACTCTGTATTATGTACCATCTGCATACGTACTCTCTGTGGCGCAGGACATATATCATGTGGAGAAAACTTTGTGAACTCTTGAACCGAGTATGCAAAAAGCTTTGCATCATCACCAGCTGAAATGAGCATCGGAACCCCCAAATGTTCCCATTTATGATAACTGAAATCAACTGGCTTCTCCTTCTTGCGCTTCTTACGAGTTGTTCTGTTTGCATAACTGTCTGGAAGGGAACCTGCAGAAGGTGGGAGGTTAACAGCCACAAATAACAAAGAGACTAGGCAGCTTCTAGATACAGGAAAACATTGCATCATGGCCCAAGCCCAAAACCTACGCTAGGGTATCTTATGATAACTATCAAGTAATTTGATAGAATTTGGTTACTAGGTTTCACTGGATTTCTATTTGTATTTAAATAAGGACTTCTTGTGATAACTATCAAGTAGTTTGATAAGATTAAGTTATTTGTTTTGCATAGGGTTTATATTCCGATTCTAATTATGATATTTTTACTAAGTGGCTTTTGAGGGTTTTATAACTAGCTGATGATACGCAGTGAAACGCATCCTGGGAAAAGGGATTCTGGGAGAATGCTACGTGTTGAGGGTTTATCAGTTTTACAAAAGGGAAAGACTTTAATGCGTTTGGTGTTCTGGTTTCTGACTCGTTTCTACTGAACATTTTGGGGTTTCTCTGTGTTTGTAATCCTTTAACTCTAACAATACACACCCAAAAATGAGTTTTCACTACAAACCATAATTGAAAATCTAAAAATTATGTATATAGTAGAGCTCAAGAAGCCACTGACCTTCACAACTTATTGGGACTGCAACAGTTAGAGCCCTGATGTCATGTGTATGAGCCCTTACACAACCGATATAATCCCACTTCTGAGAGGAAGAAGGTTTCAAATCTTGTGTATTAAATGTACCACCAGAGAGCTTATATAGAATAACCTACCAAAGGATGAAAAGAGAATAAGAGAGTTAACGCCATTACAACCAAATAACATACCAAACGATGAAAAGAGAATGAGAGAGTTAACACCATTACCACCAAATCTTGTGTATTATATGTTAAAGCAGGAAAGGTTTCTGTTTAATTTACCTGTCCGTCGGCGCCTGCAGAAAACACTCGGTTATGACTTGGGGCTGCAGCAAGAGCATTGACATCACCCTTGTGATTAGAATGTGCCTGCAAAAGAGTTCCATGCTTGCTATCCCAAAACTGGACGGTTCCTGTACTATCTCCGCTAACAAGTACTCCAGGTCTAAAACAGGATGTAGATCATCAGCAAAAGGAAAATAAAGATACAAAACTAACATGTGAGCACAATACACTTTACCTCAACGAAAGAAGTGACCAAATGCAGAGCTCAGACTCACTTCCGAGTCCTCCAAGTCCAACTGTGATTCTATATACCTCATGGCAGAGATCAGCATCCCAGCATCTTATCAGCCTACAAAAATAGTTGGGAAGTGGAAAATAAATGCTTCGACTAATCAAAGAACATTGCAGGGTCTGTCTTTCCAACTAAATATGCATCACTTAGGAAATGAAATAATATGCATCTCATACAAAGTAAAAGAAAATGTACCCACCCATCACTACTACCCGAAAAAATCATCTTTGCATCCGAACTCCACGTCACACTTAAAACACGCCCTATGAAAATAATGTTCCATAAAGATGTAAGTAGATACAATAATGAAGGATCAAAAATGATACTAAGGGGAGTAAAGATATCTCACCTCTGACCCTAGGCAACGATCTATAATACGTTAACTTGTCTGATTCAGAGATATAATACATCCTCACGCAGCCATCATCACAGGCAGCTGCAAGAAGCGTATCACAAGCCTCTGTTTTCTCGTCCAAGTCAGAATCATTTTCAATTCCACTTTCTTCCTCATCATCTGATTTCTCACTCAAGTATCCACTCGGAATCAGCTCAGCTTCTTTAACTTGCGGTTCAGTGGAGGGAGGTGGAGCCAGAGCCATTTGCCAGATTGATACTCCAATTGAATCTAAGACGACCTGGACAATCAGATTGGTTAGAGAGAAAACCTTTAATATACAAGAAGCAAGATATTTAGTTAAGTGATATTCACCTTCTGCTTCAAGGAAAAAAGATCCCACTCGGAAATTGTGCCATCTATGCTCGAAGAGAAAAGCCTAGCGGAAGACAATCCTTTGGAACCAGCACGGCACCACCACGCAAGGTACGATATTCTCGATTTTGAATCTCCATGGATGGTCTAAACTCAGCAACAACAACAAACAAGTTAACACTAATCAAGTACTTGTTTATCGAATTTGGTAATTGGAAGAGAGAAACGGAGAGTGCGTACGAGTTGGCAGTGCCAGGAGAGAGCACCGGGGGAGACGAGCCAGACCTCAAGAGAGCCGTCCTCGCGAGCTGCGGCAACCTGCGAGCCATCGGCGCTGGTAGCAAGGGCTACCACCGGAGACGGCTTCCAATCGATGGAGCGGCAACGGTACTCGAACATTGGGGCGACGGAGAAAGAGGAAGCAATTCTGTTTAGGTTTTCTACCCAAAAAAAAATTCTGTTTAGGTTTTTCAAGGTTTTAGACCTTTTTTTTATTACTGTATTATTATTACGCGGGTCGACCCGACTAGAGTCTTTGGACAGTTGTGTGAAAAGTTGTGTGAAAAGTTACATTCGGTTCAAACTCAAGTAAACCTTGTAAATGGTTAGAATTTGTAATTTTACCCTCAAAGTTAATTAAATAAAGATTAACCCTTCAAATAATAGTCAATCCACAATATAACCCTCAGTCCTATATTGATTTTTTTTTCATATGTATATGACTGTGAATAGATTACAAAACTACGTTGTTTTGAAAAAAAATTTAAAAACAAAAAAATGCAAAATAGAGAATCAAACTCATGACTTTTATATAAAAAATCTCCTTGCTATACCGACTATGCGAGAGCAACACTTCGTTAATTGAAAACCCAATTAGTTGGGTGATCTTGTGGAGTGAAATTGTGAACACCATGGGAAATGATACACGAAGCTTATGAGGAACACGATGGTGGTGATGATAATCAAGAAGAAAAGGAAAATATGTCGGTGTTGGTGTCGGGTGATGAACGATTTAAACAAAGGAAATCGAGACAATACGTTGTCGTTTTGTTACCCACAATCAGATCCGAAGTCGAATTATCATACCTCTTAGATCCCGAATCGCTGCCGTGGAGAGTCCAGATTAGGAGTTGCTCACGAGGATGAAATTGGAGATATGGTAATGAAGAAGCAAGCAAGCTTTGATGAAGCTACACGAATCCATGGAAGAAGATGATAGGTATTCTGTTTTTTTTTTACATTGAGATCGAGATTTGTGTGAATTGTGAATCATCATATCTATGTTAATACAAGAG